TATATATTGTAATGTAAATGAGTAGGCCGTATTAGTCCAGTAGACAAGATGTAAAAAACAAAAAGGCAAGCTTTCGAGAGTTGACCTTTCTTCTTCAGGTCAGAAGCAGCACACACACACACTTACTGTGGGAACGTTTTTAGGCAGGTGTGAAAAAATGCTAAAGTAAGAATGCTTTCAGATAGTGTTTATAGTTTATTTTTATCAGTTAACAAAATGGAAAGTAAATGAACAGAGGAGAAATCCAAATCAATATTTGGTGTGTAACCCTTTGCCTCCAAAACAGCATCAATTCTTCTAGGTACACTTGCACACAGTTTTTGAAGGAACTCGGCAGGTAGGTTGTTCCAAACATCTTGGAGAACTAACCACAGATCTTCTGCGGATGTAAGCTGCCTCAGATCCTTCTGTCTCTTCATGTAATCCCAGGCAGACTCGATGTTAAGATCAGGGCTCTGTGGAGGCCAAACCATCACTTCCAGGACTCCTTGTTCTTATTTACATTGAAGATAGCTCTTAATGACATTGGCTGTATGTTTGCGGTCGTTGTCCTGCAGCAGAATGAATTTGGAGCCAATAACTAGTCAGCTAGCCTTGTTTCCACGTCAGGTATGGCTTTTTGGCTGCAATTCGTCCGTGAAGACTACTTCTGGCCATACTTCTTTGAACAGTAGATGGGTGTATCTGGGTCCCGCCAGTTCGGTGCTGATGGCACTGCTGGATATTTTCCGATGTCCAAGGGAAGTAAGCATAATGTGTTTTCTGCTGCATTAAGTTTCCTTGGCCAACCACTGTGTCTACTGTCCTCAACGTTGCCCATTTCTACATTTCTAACAGCACATCTTGAAACCCCAGACTGCTTTGAAATCTTTGCCTGGGGCAGGCCTTGCTGATGCGGTATAACTACCGTCTGTACCTGTGCAATAGTTTTAGGCCGGTGTGAAAAAGTGCTGTCAAGTAAGAATGCTTTCAGAAATGAGTGTTAATAGTTTATTTTTTTATCAATGAACATGCGAACAAACCTCCGTTCTGGTTATTCCATTCCCAAATATGTGACTATACTGTGCCCTCAACAGTTTCTGATATCATTACCGCTTAAAAGTGGTGCATCTATAGGGAACTCTGAAGACTGTCAGTTCTACATTTTTGGACTTTGTATATCTGGTGGATCCTGTTCCCTGTGATCCTTGTAAGCAGTCTGATCTCTGGACTTTGCTTTTCAGTGTTTATATCAGATAATTTTCCCAATTACCCCTTTGGGATCTAAGGGATTTCTGAGACCTTTTTTTCCTTTTAGGAAGTTGAGACCTTCAACCTTACATTTTTGTTCCTTTGGCCAGGTTACCTATGCTTCTCTCTCCATCTTGATCGGCTCTCCTGTTCACAAGTACCCTCCAGTAAAATTTATATTGTACAGAAATGACAAGAATATACATTCATGTTGGTCTTCTGTAATCTGACCTCGCTTTTGTTGCATCTAGCTTCAAGTTCTCCTCTACGAAGGTTTAAGAACTTACTGTGCTAGTATTCTTCATGTCCTCTAGTCAGTGAGCAATCTACTCGAAGATTATTATTATTATTACATAGTATTTATATAGCGCCAACAGTTTGCGCAGCGCTTTACAATGTAAGGAAGAAATTACAATACCATTCAAGACAGGATGGTAAGGAGGGCCCTGCCCCTGAGGGCTTACAATCTGAAAGAGGAGGGGAAATGATACATGAAGAGGTAGCTGTGTGGGGATGAATTGTTTGAGAATGTGATGGTTCAGTGGTTAGGTTGAGGTGGGATAGGCTTCCCTGAAGAGAAGAGTCTTCAGGGAACGCCTAAAGACAGTCAGGGTGGGAGATAGACGGACAGGTTGGGGTAAAGAGTTCCAGAGGAGAGAAGTCCTGGAGGCGAGTATGGGAGGTGTTGACTAGGGAGCTGGAAAGCAGGAGGTCTAGGGAAGAGCGGAGTGGAATATACATTCCTAACAACTTAATAATCTCACTAGGCATACCATGTGGTTACCCTGTGGGATTCCCTCAAGAGGAAGGAACAATCTTGGGGACCTACTTTTATTAAACTTTGTCTTCCTGCATTAAGCTAAAAAAATTCTTAACATTGACTTTAGGATTACATCCCTTTGCACTTCAGCAGAGCACTTGTCTCCGAGTATAACCTGCATTATTATGTTCTTTTAAGGAAGGTTTGCTGTTAATTACCACACCCCTCCTTAACACCCTTTTTTTGGACAGGCTCAATTCTTGTCCTTCTATTTCCTGCCTCACCTGACCTTTCCCTTTTTTCTTGAAGGGCTTAGTGGTAGTACTATTGAATTTTTGGATTATTGAATTTCATTTTGACCCAAATTCAATACTGTGACTAATATATATTAGGGATGCACGGATACCGGTTTTTCGGTATCGAGTACCGATGCTTTGATTTCGGTACTCGGTGATACCAAGTAACGATACCAGTGCTTCGTCTGGCATGGATCAGGCAATCAGGAAGCCAGGAGGTGGGTAATGACATACCGCCTGGCTTCCTGATTGCCCGGGAAGCTGGCTCAATGTTGTTTGGCTGGCTTGATTGTGAAGCTGGGTGGGGATTAATGACCCGCCTCCTGGCTTCTGACTGGCCGGAAAGCCGGCTTCCCGGCCAATCAGAATAGAGCTGGCTGTTCGGCCGCCTCGATGCTGATTGGTCGGGAAGCCTGCTCAGGGAGGTGGGTCATTACTCGCCGCCCAGCTTCCTGATCGCACAGGAAGCTAGCTCCATGTTCCTCTACGGCACATGACCGGAAGTTCTGGTAGCTATCGGGGAAGGTATCGGAGCATTTATCCACCATTGGAACAATCCTTGGTTGCAATCTTTGATCAATTGTTCTCTCTTGTCCATGTCCAGGGAGATTAGCTACAGTGCCATGGACTTCTTGACAATGTTGTGCCCAGTGGACACAGGAACCTTAAGATCTCTGGAAATGGACTTGTGACATTGAGATTGTCCATGCTTTTACACAAAAACTTGGAATGCAATTATTTCTTGCAATTTGCAAGAAGACAGTTCCAATAATTTTGTCCAGTCCATTTTTGGAGTTTTGTGTGGAATGTGTCAGATTTGGCTCTTTTTTTTTTCTCCACTTTTTTGTGTCATACCAATGCAAACAAAATAAACATGATAATGGCTAAACATTTGTAATTTGTTGAGGTGTATACATGTTCGTGGTGTGTTTATAAGGTTAGTAAATCAACCCCTGTATGTCAGTTTTGAGTCCCCTTTTTAATCAGGCATTAGAAATATGATTGTTTCCCAGAATATAATTATATTAGTAGACTGGTATATGTAATGGGTTTTAGTCTTTTTGTATCTATTCGCTATATCAAAATGTCTTGCCCCAGACCTTTTCTGGCACTGGTAAAGTACATTCACATGTTTTGTATTACACTTAACTACACTCTGATGTGCATGCTTTTTATGTATGCAGGCTAACAGCACTAACACATAGGAACCAGTTAGATTTCAAATCATTGCAAAAAATCTGGTTTCTGTGGGTTATTGAACTATGAAACTAGGTCCATTACTCCTTACTCTACAATGTGGTGGATCTGTCCAAAATAATATCTGTGGAAATAGGCTAAAGTGTGCAAGACAACCAGGGACACATTATGCCATATTGTATGAGAAAAGGAGCAAATAAATCTGGGCATAAAATCTGAACTAGAGAAATTATGTAATTTGCAATGTTATGTTTTTTAATAAAATATGCATTTTCATATAAATTAACAGCATAAGCATACTTAAAAACATTTTTGAAGTTCTATTGATAAAGCAGACACCACCGGGTTGGGAAATATATATTTTCCTTAAAGGAACCAGACCTAGGGGTGTACAAAATTCCCCAGTTTATATAGTAAGTAGGGATGCACAGATACTTTTCGAGTACCAGTGCCGAAACTTGGCATTTTCATGAGAACTACCAGGGTTGTAGCAGTTGCAGCTGGGACCTGGCTCTGGCGCTCCACCACTAGCCTGAAATCATTAGTCTGTATTGATTTAGAAAAACTGTCACATGACAATAAACAAAAATGTATCAGTACTCATACTTGTAAGTACTCGTCAAGTACCAGTACTCGTACTCGCGAAACTGGTATCTGTGCATCTCTTTATTTATATTTATAAAAACAAAATCGTACATTAAAACATCGATGTACAAATCCCAGGAGCTCCGTGTGCTCCTTACAAATGACAGCTGCCTCCTAATTTTTGAATTAATGTCTAGTCTAGTCTTGGAGCTCAAAAGTATCGGTACATATACTCGTACTTGTACCGAGTACTGTGCTTGGTATCTGTGCAACCCTAATAGTAAGGTATGTAAAATGTCACAAAGCGAAAAGCATAGTATCTGGCAGTGATTTAAAGAACATCCCAACCTAAGCAAAAAAGCATTATTTTGTTTTTGTATAATAAGATATCGTTAATATCGCTAAATTCCTGGCACTCCTAGACATTGGTCATAGCTGGAACAGTAACTTATTTAATATACGTAAACCTGTTACGTACAATGTGATATACATGTATTATAGAAGAAAATTACTGAAATTGCAAGGGCAAGGTCCAAAAAGACAGAAAGATACAACAATGCTAAGGAGGGGTAGCAGAAACAGGGGGACAAAGTTGTGCCAAAGCCATATACTCACGCGTATAGTGCGCATTCGGGAATAGCTGTTCTGGGCTCTACACGTTGCAGTCATATTACTACTTTATCACGAGCAAGCAGCACTGATATGTTCTGTTAAGTGATTAGTAGAGAAGCATAACCAATAGCCATATATTAAGCATACCTCTACCTTTTGGACACATTTGGTACCATAAAGCAGGACAGTGAAATGATTTTTTGTAAACGGTTTGCAATGCTAGTTTTGTTCTCTTTGGTTTAGTCTGTGCATAGGCTGTACATTGTGAGTTGGGCATGGTGGAGTCTTCAAGACCCTTTACAAGTATAATGGCACATAATCAGTTAAGAATACTGTATGGTCATGCTGTAATTTTATTTTTCCATAGCTGCTGTAGAGTCATAATTTTCTCTATACTTAGCAAATATTTTCTCCTTTTGATGATCACAATCAAGCAAAATTTGCATTCTAGGTTGGAGATTTATCATACTCATCTGTCCTTATTCCTTTACTTTTTTTTGCAGGACCCTATCTATGTCCTTGAAAACAATATCCCCATTGACACACAATATTACTTGGAGCAACAGCTGGCCAAACCCCTGCTGAGAATCTTTGAGCCCATACTGGGGGAGTCCAAGGCTGAAACCATACTTCTGAGTGAGTACTATTTGCCGCACTCCTTACAGGACAATGTATTGATTGCACAATGGACCTGTAAGTGTTTTTATTTTAGCAATAAGCCAGATAAAAGTGTTTTTGTGCGCTGAAGTGGAAGTTAAACTATTGATGGCAAACAAACTGCTGTTTGCCCCACATACCAGTTTAACTGAAAAAAGATTTAGATATGAGATATGATTTTCTTTTCCATTTGCACACAGTGCCAATAAAACACTTTTTTTTTAAAGCCGAAACTCCAGGAACAATGCTAAATACAGAGAGCAAATGCATACATGGTAGCTGCTTACCAGCCATATGATTTGCATTTCTGTCCGTCCAACTATTTACATCGCTCTGCTAAACAGCACAGCCCTGTCTGGCAAGCCTGATGTTTATTTGCTGCAGTTAACCCCTACATGTGCAGCCTGGGACTGGACCGTGAAAGGGGCAGGAGCATACTGCCCATCTCTCTGCAGCCCTGCTCTCTCTTTGGGCCCGCTCATACTATTACAGTGTATTTAACTGGGCTGCCTAATGCAGCATGTTAAAAAAATAATAATTGTGAATGGCTATTGCTATTAACATATACTCTATGTACCTTGTTAGCATATGAGCTTTATAGCACAACTGACTGGCTCTCTGTGCTGTTTTTCTCTCTTCTGGTCTGAGCTCTTGTGTACCCATTTGCTTTAAATATATATCTAATAAAACATTATAATACTGTGGGCTTCATTTTAAATGGGAGGTATAAAAACATTTACTAGTTGCTTTGATACTTTGGATTAGTTGGCAACCTATATTTAAATTTAAAGCCAGCCGTACTATTTGTCTATATGTGGGAAGGTGAATCTGAAAACCTGAAGACAATCTACTACAAATAAAAATACATGTGTGAGATGGTAACTATCTCAAAATAATATTTCTGAGCCACACACTAGCTTCAGGTCAGCAAATCAGTTTCACCACCCCAGAAGTAGAATGTAGCCCAGTTTATATCTGAGGAATTTTCTTTGTACCAAAATACCCATTTAGCTGAAGAAATCTGGAAGTGCTTCAATACTTTTCTGGCAGTATCGTCCCTGGCAGTATGTTCCCTGCTACTTGTCCATTCACAAAATAATGGATGCATCACTGGCTCCGTCATAAAACGTCTTGTATTTTTTTCAAAAAAATACAAGGCATTTTATGACAGGGCTGGTGATGCATCCAGAGCACTTTACTTTTCACGTCACCTCCTTGACTTCGCTCCATGCCTTGAAGCTCAGTTCTATGTGTAGAAGCTGGCATGCTCCAAGGTAAGATTTTTTTTTATACTCTGCAGCAGCCCTCCACACATAACATACAACTTTTTAAAGGTAATTTACACACCCAGTGCGGTTTGTAAATTTATAATTTTTTCTGGAATTTGGCTTCAAAGAATAACTGTACTGCCATTTGATAATGATCCAGTCATTCTTTTAGGGCTTCAGTTACGTTTTGGCATTTTTAGTTTCTTGTCATCCATCAACCATTCTAGCCATATTACTAGTCAGGTTTCTAGTCAGGTTTCTAGTCAGGTCTAGTTATTGCATTGTAGAGAAACCGGTACACGAAAAGGATCCACTCGATGTAAACTTTATTACAATGGCATTAAAAACAGCAAACAAAAAAGCTAATGCGTTTCAACCTATGCACAGGCCTTAATCATAGCCTAAGTCTATGCATTGGTCTGCATTGAGTGGATTCTTTTCATGTTCCTGTTTTCGCTACACTACATTTTATCTGGTCCGGCAGAGACCGACACTGAGCATCGCGGTTCCACCTGAATATTAGTATATGAGGTTGAACGGTTTTGATTTGTTTGTCAAGTCTACCAGTGACGTGCAGTGAGGTCCGTGCTAGGTGAGGCATTTTCCCCTGCCTGCCCCCAACCCGCCGCTGCCTCTTGCCTCACTATATTAGGTTACACAAAGCATTGTTGAAGCCCACTGTTGTGTAACCTAACATAGCTGTCAAAGGCTGGGTGCAGCGCCGCCTGTAATTAACAGGCAGTGCACTATCCATGACAGGTTACACAACGGGGATGCTTTCCCTGCTGTGTAACCTCTTACAAGCCGGTCTGGAGAATGGAGAAAAAGCTGTCTGCTTCAGACTTAAAGCTGACAGCTTCTTCTTCCATAATACTGGGTGAGGCTCTGCCTCCCCTGACCAGTCCCTGAAATCTATTCATGTTTCCAGTTAGATTTTTCAGTTAAAAGAGAACTATGGAGTAAGTGTTTTTCCCCATAGTTCCCTTTAGGGTCACGGGAGAGTGCTGCACGCAGCCTGGACGTATCCCGACAATACTGTAGAGATCCACCCAGCTGCGTGAATGACAGTTGGCTCTGCCTATCTAGCTGTGCCCGCCCCCTCCTTCGTTTGTTCCTCCACTCAGCGCTGGAGGATGGGAGAGGGGAGGGGGGGAATCCCTGCGGGGAGCGGTGACTGTCAGTCATGGCTCACTGCAGGAAGACTAACGGAAAGTGAGCGCATCGGCTGTATATTTCTGTTCACTTCCCGATTGATAGAGCCGACCTGTGACAGCTTCTTTGTCACAGGTCGGCTCTAACTATGAGGATGAGTGGAAATCACTCACCTTTATAGTTCTTCTTTAAGTCTAGATGTGGACCACTTATGTTTTCTTTGCAGGCCTATTAGTTGCCCACTCAGATCTTTTAGGTAAGTCTGGTCCTCATCGTTTTCTAGGCAGGCCTTTTTGTTGTCCAATCAGTTTGGTTTGTTTTTTGTTTTTTTTTAGGCTGGCCATTCATAGTCCATTCAGGTTTGTTTTTGTCAGGTTTGCTAACTAAGTTGTTGTGCTTCTCCAGCTCGCACTGAGCATCAGAAGCATATTTGGTTATGAGTAAATACTGGACCATTTTTAGAAAAAGTTGTGACTTTTAACATTGTCAGCATTGATTTCCCGGTAAAAATAATCTGCTACTAAGTGTCATTGTCTGATATGGGCTTTATTGTATCGACAGAGGGAGAACACACTCGTTGTAAGACCGTCCTTACCTCCAAAGTTGGAGGCCTTATGGCATTTGCGAAGAAACGTAGTACCTGTATCGGATGTAAAGCGTCGTTAAATCATGACGGTAAGACACCTATTTATGAATGACTGATTTGATGTAAGTTTTTAGTACTCCTAATAGGGAACTCTACTAAGTACAGATGATTGGGTAGAGCAGTGTGAACATAGTGTATAACTAAGCATCACTTCTGCACTGATCTGTTAAATTTAAAACCCTAATATAAGCATTTACAAATCCAGTATTGTATCATACCTTTCTGTCACATTTCCCAAATATTATAATAATATTATAATAAGTCCATCTGACACCAAATGCAGACCAAGAGGTAGCCATAGCCAGGGCTTACCTTTAATGGAGTGATTCTTTAACTTTAGTGACATTTCTGTTTTCATATGTCAGCCCAAATATTCCAGACTATAACTATACCTTGTACATTTACAAGTCACATAGATTAATTGCTAGTGCAAATATTGTTGATGCTGTAAGTTTGAGTTTAGCAGACTAAGTGTCCTGGAAAAGCACAGGCACTTTTCCAGCTGCCCCTGCTCAGTGGGCTGCAGTGAGATGGAAGGTTCTGGCTTACGTTAGTGGCATCCTTCAGTTAATAAATCAAGCTTTACAAGTGTGTGTGGCCAATGTGTTCTAGGTTAATGCTTTTTGGTGCTCAACTGTTTTGCTACTTCTCATTTATTAAGTTTAGAAGTTCATTTGAAAATCAGGCCTATAAACGGTTTCAAAATTTCCCCTTTATTAAGCCTAAGGTACTTTTACTCCATAAATCACTGGTGAACTATTTCCTGGTCTGCCTAAATTTGCCTTAGGAGTTTGATGGAGAAATGTTTAGGCCCCAAATTTGTATTGCCCTAAATAACTAGGGATGTCCCTATACCATTTTTTTTTTTAAGACCAAGTACTTCCCCTCATGAACTTGCAAATACCTATTACCGATACTTTTTCTTAAAGGGACATGTGACATTTTTTCTAAAGCAATACAGATTGATGATTTTAGGGCACAAACTTCATAATTCTGAACAAAATAAACTAAACCAATACCAAGTGTACAACCAGAGTATGCATGTACAATAACTTCTTAAAAGTAACAAACCATGAAAAAAATCTGAACAACTTAAGTCCGTACAATATTCAACAACCCATATTCAGGATGCAACATGAAACATGGACGCGTCACCTGTGACGGATCTGTGAATGGATAAACTACAATGGATTACAAGAGTGGTGACATCACCGCACTTATAGTCCATTCACTCTTCTTCCCATCCTTCCCCCCTGAACTGATGTCCCCAACATCCTGCAACTTGGCAAAATGTCTGCAACTTGGCAAAATGTTACTGAATGTCTGTACCTTCTTACAAACAGGGACGGGAGGGAGAATCTGCAGGAGCCAGAGCATTGCACCCATAATCCACTGATCCCAGTGGCGATGGTTTACAGGCTCCGATGCAAAAAATAATAATAAATAAATTAACATGTTTTCTTTTGTGAAGATGTGTGAATTTTTTATTATTATTAATTTTTTTTTTTTAAGTTTTACTTTACCTTGTGTACAAAGGTATTGGATGCAGGAGTGCATCCAACTTCTATGTTACTGGTATTGATATACCCATGCTCACCTGACAGGTGGGCTCATGCAGAAGCAAAGTAAGTTGATGGACTGGTTCATTCAGTTGGATACCTCGTGTTGCATGCAGCATTTAGGTAACTGCAAACAAATTTCAAGTCCAGCCACTTGTACATTGTACACCTTTTCAGGATGAGCTTAGAGGGACCACTTGATAGTATTTCAAAACACCCTGAGTACCCCCTTTTCATGCCTCTCTGAATCAAGGCGTAAGTAATATATGAGGGCTGCTATAAGACCATTTTTGTGCCTCACCAATGATTTTGAGGTAATCGCTGAGACTATTTAATGCAAGGCCTGGGGGCACAATACTGTTTTCATTTTTACCAATGAAGCTTGACAGAAAAGCACAGCAATTTACAGGATTTTTATTTTAGTGAAACTGCCTGCGGGTGTTTGTTTTCCTGGAACAGTTTTCCATTTCCTATTATATGCTGAGGAAAGTTCCTCATTTTTTTCTGCTGCTTTTGCTCAACCTCCCCTCTAAATAGAGATAGAAAAAAAGCAACAACAATGGTGTAATAGTTGAAAATCCAGCCATAATTAAAGCTGGTTTACCAGCTACTGTTAGTGTGTTATGTCTCCTGCAAGAAAATTTGATATGAGTGTTACTAAAGAATCTGTCATCCTTTGTTGTTTCAGTTTTGGGCACAACCATGCAAATTCATATACCTTTCTTTTGTCTCTCTGGCTCAGTAGCACTGTCAGCACTGTCTCTCTTACAGGCAATGGTAACCTGCTTGAGCCGATGGGAGGGCCATTAATCAGTTTGTAACATCATTAAAAGACAGCCCTGAAGTTCCAATTAACTGGTTTTGTCAAGGCTGAAATGTCATCAGTCTGCTACAGACTTTCCTCCAGTGCTACCTCCTTTCCTCCAGTGATCAGACTGCCACTTTTATAACCAGTCACAAAGTGAGAGGCTGCAGCATGGGCTTGATTTGTGTCAGACATTTGAGAAACGCAGCCACCAACACTGTTACACTTACACATTACTTTCTATGGCTGCACTTAACGTGAGGAAAAAAAAATTTGATTCTGGGTTTAATTTATTTCACCAATGAAACTAAAATGTCAATTTTACGTAGGTTTGGTTATAAAGAGCTACTTTACCCATGCCAGCCTCATTGTATAAGGAAAGTGATGACACTTTTCACAGCCTGACAGTCTGCTATTGTGCACGCGCGCCACATACCTGCCTGCTACTTGTAATCTGAACTTTTAGGCTTTGTGAAACTAATTACAACCCCCTGCCTGAGCTCCCTCATCCTAAAGTACATCACTAGCATATTTATAATGGAAGGTCAGCAATGACAGCCAATGTGTTCTCTCCATGCAGGTTTTCTTTAAGGGAGAACCAGACACTAAATATTAACTATTATTGATAGATACTTTTGGAAAAATACACAGATCCATCCAATACAACTTGTGTGTGTCAGTTTGAGTCTCCTAGGAATTAATATGTTTCTGTATGTTTTGTCTGTTGAGGATGGCATCTAGATTTTTTTTGAAGCTGTTAACATGCTTAGCTGATACCACAATTTGGGGAAGGGATTGCCACATTTTTGCTTCTCTAACCATAAAGAATGTCCTGCCAAATATCAGATTAAACCTCCTTTCCTTCAGCCCCAAATTGTGGCCACTTGTCCTTGTCAGGGACCTTAGATTAAACAGTTTACCTTCACTACAGTCACCATTGATGAATTTGTAGATGGCAATAATGTCTCCTCTTAAAGGGGTTCTAAACCCTCTGTTTTTTTGCCCATATCTACTGCTAGCAAGCAGTAGATATAGACAAAAGGGCAAAAGTTTAAAAAAAAACCCTGCTTTAACAACGGTTTACACTTACCCTGTTTTCGTCGCACGCTCCCGCCCGAGAATCCGAAACCGCTCAGGTGGCCGAAAAGCATCTTGGGGCAGGCGCATGCGCAGTTCGGATTTTCAGCCGGGTGACGAGCAGAGAAGCAAGGTAAGTCTTTGGACGCGTACACCCGCATGCAGACACCGCTGGATCAGAAGTGCCAGCAAGCAGAGAGGAGTCAGCGCTGGATCGGAGAGCCGCCCCACCGCTGGGGGGGACAGATGAAAACATCAGGAAAGAAGAAGATCGGATTAAGAGACCTCATTTAAGGTAAGTGCTAACATTAACATTGGGGGGAGGGAAAAACATTTTTGACTTTAATGTCACTTTAAGGTCCTCTTGATTGGTGACCAGAATTGTACTGCATACTCGGGGTAAGACCGAATGAGTGTTTTGTAAAGGGGTAAAAGTATTGATTTATCCCTTGATTAAATACCGTTTTTAATGCATGAGAGATGCAATGCATCTGTACCCATTCTTTTAGCCAGCTTTCTATCCTCTTACATCAATTGCCTCCACACCAGTTGATTTTGTTGGTAAATTAAGCATTTGTGGGGTAGAGTGTCAAATGCTTTTGCAAAATCCAGATAAATGACCTCTTCTGCCTTCTATCCAAGCTACTGCTTACATCCTGCTTACATACTCATAGAATATCCACAGGTTGGTCCTAAAGGGCAGTACCTCATAAATCCCTGTTGATTATTTTGTCTGACACTTCAGTTTTAGTGCATTGCTGCCCTGTTCCCCTGAGAATGCATAACCTTGTAAAAAAACGAAGAGGCAAACCGCAATTGGGCGTTACTAGTGCTTTGATAAGAGAAGCAAGGAGCTGCCATTTCTGACCTCTCCTTCTAAAAATTATAGTTGTAGGACTAACTTTCTAAAACAAAACACGTATGGTGATCAGGAGTTCTTATTTCACTGGCTGCATCCTTTTTCCAGGTCAGTGACTCAAAACATTGTCGGAAGATCAAAGTAACAACCAGGCAATAACATTTTCAGAAGATGATCAGCAATGGTAGCCCCAGTTTTTCACCTTTTAAAGGTGTTCCCCCTCCTTCCTTCCTTTCATAGAACATACAAGTAGTAGACACTACCACTGCAAGCTTATTGCTATGAATATACAAGCTGAGAATACATTATGAGTTTTGTTATGCAGGCATTAGATGCTGTGTATAGGTAGCATTAGTGTTTGGCATCATAAAGGATCTTTGTTTTACTTCTGTTTTTCTATAATTGTTTGTGTTACACATTTCCCGTAATATGTCTTAATATGTCTACGCAAAATTAGAATTTGGGAAGCCTTCTAGCAGCCTGTGTTATGCTAGCTTAATGGTAAATTAACATGCAGCCAATGATCTGCTTTGGCCCAGACTGACTTCCTACTTTGAGTTTATGAGAAATCAGGTGCTTATGGAAGCTGGCTATAGTCTGTATCTAGTCAGCTGCTCATTTGACAACATAGAGTTGTCAGGTGTATATACATGAGGTGAAATAACAGGAATGTGAGTGATCTACTTCCTCGGTAGGGATAGTATCTGTATTTAAAGGAGTGTACTAGGC